CCGGTGCACGAAAGTGCATGGTTAATGGTTGTAACAACTGAACTGAACTGAACTGATCGGTAGGGGAGCAGGATGGAGAAATACCATCACTGCTCGGACACCACTGTCTATGTTGCATTTCTTGAGTCTTGTAAACGAATTGGACGGTGAACACCGAAATCAGACGCAGAGTTTTGGGTAATCGCAGTGGCTTACTTGAGTAATTGATCGATCCCCATTGATCAAGATAGCCGGGGTGTGTTACTTAGGTCACTTAATGGGCTCACTTTATGTGCTATGCTCATCATCCAGGTGGTTCGTGAGAAAATGTCAAGCTGTGATTTGACATGAGAGTAAGAAAACCCTGTCCGAGGGAGTTCAACATCTAGGCCCCATTAAACTTCCCGATTGGGGACCATGAAATCCGTGGCTTAAACATCATTGTTCGTGCATATACTGAATTTCCAGTCGACTATTTTTGCCGCCTACATTCTTTTTCATCATTTCCAGCATTGGTCGATGGTGTAATTCTTATTCAGCCATTTCATGGTTTATTTTCAAATGTGTAGACCGCTACCCGATATTTACCGTTTTTCTACTTCATTCATGACTAGAGACGGTTTCAATGTCACCCAAACCACCACTATTTCTGTCATGTCAAGGGACCTAGTACGGCTCACAAGTTCCCGCCTCGAGGTCTTAGGCTGCCGACTCTTGTAACCGTGCAGTGGGATTCTCTGATTTTTTAGTTCATAGTTTTGCGGCTCTATAGTTCATCGAATTGGAGTTTATACCGTAAAGAAGTAATAATTCGCCTGAAAAGTACTTCTTCCAGTACCCTTTTAATATTAACGGGAATGTAAGATGAAACATCGTATCGCATTTTGAATTCTTCTCAACATTCTCATCCGTACCGGAATTTTCTTTTTAGATCCCGTACCTGAACTGGTTGATGTGGAAAAAGAACTAAAGGTTGCTCGTGCCCCGGAGGCTACACAAAAACAAAGTGAATTTGCGGGGTCACCTGTAACAGCACTCGGAGATGTGGTGGAAGGTGCCCTGGTAAGTAGTTGTTCATCTTTCTTTTCTCGTTATTGGAGAAATTAGGTTTGCGTCGTTGTACAGTCTGACCTATCTTATCCCGTGATAGCGACTGAATTCCGCCCCCCCTCCCTCCCTGTCGAATTCGACACCTTGCACTCGGTGAAACAACAATCTATTCGCATGCATCTCTCATTTCTCCATGCTCGTGTGGGGTTACCGTGTGAACTATTCTGAACGAAACATGCCAAAAGGCTGTTGGTGTTTGAACTTAGGTTTATTTGTTTTCACCATTTCATACCTCTGTTGAGATAGCCGGTTTTACTATGCTGAGGTCAATGAATTTACGAATGGCATGCTTGGAGTGTGTTGGATGTGTGCACGGACGTATTTTCTTGGTGTACCGGATAGTGTGGTATAGGAGGAGTGGTTAGTGAATCAGTTACTTACTCCAAGTTTAATATAGATTATTTCCTTTATGGGGATAAGTCTGCTTCATGGGTATTATTTTTAGACGGAGTCCCGTCGGATAGGATACGGAACGATGTCCCCAGCACTGTTCGGGGTTGTTTACTACTCCCTGCTCCCTCCAGTCGATAGTAGTAAATGAACTCACGGCACATCTAGTCTTTGGCTACCCAAGTGCAACCTGCAAAGCGGTAGGGTTATTTCAAATTGTAGTTCATTTGTATCCTCAGAATGATTGTGGAGCACAACAGGATTCCTGAACTTAAATAGTGCCCGGCTCCAGTTGTAACCTTGCAATGCGGTATAAAGATTGATAAATTGTCTCTTAGTGGTGTACACTATCTAGGCGAGTTGAGCCCTTAGTAAAGCTCATCAGTACTCCTGCTTCTGAAGCCCGTGGAAAGCTTGCGGTAGCACTCTCAAATGTCCGGTCTCCGGCATACATCGACGTTTGACTCCTTTAAGAGAGACCAATATCCGTGAACACCAACCCGGATTCCGGCTTGGTTGTGGACGTTTTGATCAAGTTTTTGCGTCCTTGAGCTACGTCATACCCAACGTCGACCAACCATCACAGTGCTGGACCTGATGGGAGCGTTCTACTCAGTTGAACGTAAATCTCGAACGGGTTGTCTTATAAAAGGAACGCCCCAGAAGTAAGTCAACTTATTACGATTAGGGATGTCCTATATCGCCATTCTTGTTCAATTTCGTCGTAGACAAAATTCTGGAGAACGCATTAAGTGTTCTTCAAAACGCAGATATTGAATGAACAACTGGAGATAAGCTATACTATTCGGACTATGCCGATGACATCGTCTGTCTGCTCGAATGTGTGGAGGACTCACAAAATGCATTTGATAGACTGACAAGTACTGTTGCCACATTCGGTATGTGCTATGCACCTTCAAAGTTCAGTGATGCTGCAAGACTGGGTGTCGTCTACTCCTTACTCAGGTAGTTGCGTAACCAATGACGGCAGCAGAGCAAAGAAGATAACCGCTCACATTTCCACGGGTGGAGCAGCGTACGCAGGACTGAATCACCTTTGGCTTAGACGCAATGTTCCACTGAATTTCAAAGTTTGCGTATGTTGTGCTGCGAGTTTGGCAGCGATCAGTGCAGTTCGCTTCACTGTGTTATGCTGTACGGTGATGGTCAAAGTCAAAGTCAAAGTTTTATTATGGGAATAGCTTACAAGCTGGTGCTTCTCTTGTCCCATAGGATGTTTACATAGATGAATCGTTACACATCAAAAAAGGAGTCACATAGGGATCCGGGTAGGAGATAGAGAATGTAGACTACAGTGAATCTCATTTGCCTTTAGTGTGCGAATGTGAGGTGTGCCAAGATTTTATCGAGTCTCTGCTTGAAAGATTCAATAGTGGGTGCACAAACGACATGAGATGGAAGGGCATTCCAAGAGTTGCATACTCTGACAGCAAAAGACTGGCGCCGGCACTCCAGTCGAGACTTTGGAATCAGTAGTTTGAAACGGTGTTCCCTTAG